CACATAATGTTTAATACCGTAGTGAATAAAAGAAAAAGGAGTGGATGGGGTATCAATTACTACGCCTCATTTACACGAGGGAAATGATTTTTGTCGTGTTTTCGACTAGAAAACTTCATTCCAAATCCTTCGAAACCCTTGCTCTTACAAACAATGCATTGTTCCACAAGTACATTAAGAGATGTGTTTCTCTTGAAATGGGAAATGGTCTGCCTTCTTTTTGAAATGTCAACAAAGATAAGTCTGATGTACTTTCTTTGACTTCAAAATCCATCTATTTATAGATATAAACAATAAAAATCAACAATGACGAATATTTGAAGCGTGTTGGTTACAATAAATGGTTATCATAAGAAAGGTAACAATTTAAATCAAACGAAGGCTGACATATTCCGATATGATTTATTTCAGCAGGTCTTGAAACTTAAGAATTGTCTGTATGATGTGAAATCGTCCATTTTGTAGTAAGCATAACAATTAACAAAATGCGTTAAAAGGGGCATAACTCCTAGAAAAGTCACACGACTGCGACTGTAGAACGTTTTATATGTGTCCTCGTAGTTTCAGGTCTGTCTACAGTGTTTCTAGATACATGACGGACATGTTTGTAATCCTGGCATGGCACATGGGAAGTATCATTTTGGGCCCTTCCAACTGTAGGTGTAATGAGTATTTGTAATCTTTTTAGTACAAAATACTAAAATACTCCTGCCGCCGTTTGCTACTATGGCGAAAAGTTAATGCTGAAATAGATATTGTGTGTTTTCATATAATTTAGAACGAATTTAAAACGGTGAGTTGTATTAATGAGAAGTTTTAGGTCAGAAAATTGTGTTCTTGACTTGGTGAGTCGTCATATTCTTCATGACTCCGTCAGTCATCGGACATCACCTAAATTAAATCACAGAGCCGAAGAGTGAATCCCATTTTCAGATGTGACCTTAGCCAATGTTTGTGATTTCAATTGTGTTTTGATATCAATATTCCAAACCTCTTGGCTTCTATCTTTTAATGTCCACAATCAGCAGGTGGGTGACACGTTGATATGGTTAAAACTGCGAGTATAAGCCAGAGATTAGCGATCGGAATGTCTCGAGCGTATACATTTCTGGAGTTGGTGTTTACGTTTCTTTCGAGGAATCCGATGGTCCTATTGACATGTTCTAGGGGTGCAGAGAGCGAAAGTGATTGTAACCCTTGGAGCATCGAGGATTGTTTACCTTTCTTCACAGTTCGCTGATGTGATAGTGCTGACCCAAGCACATCTCCATGGAGGGAATAAGCCTCGTAAATGATGAAACCGGGCACTTTCTTTGGATGGAATAACATCTTCCGTTGTTGTTACCAGTTTTCCTGTCCACCACGGCCCTTCCTCAATGTGTGCGTCATTGTCTGAGGTGATGGTCAGGTACACTATGGTGTCGTGTGCAAACCATCCGAACCAAAGATCCCATGCTGAGAGGTAGATAGTTGGTGTATGCTCCTCGTGCTACTTACGCAGAATCTCTTGTTTCACCGCCTACAAAAACTGATTGCTCTGTGTGACGACAGTAGACCTGCCATCCAATGATGAATTTGTCTCGTGTGCCGTAATCATGGAGTTTATGAATGAGTAAGCTGTGACAGACTTTACCAACTGCCTTTCAGACGTCCATGATTGCTTCCTAGGTTTTACCTTCCGTGTGTTGTCGTCTACAAACTCCAGCCGCCATGTCTTGCATTATCTCGCTGCATGGGGTACAAGATAGTATTTAGGTCCGGCATTGTTCCTGACGTGTCTAGTCAGCAGAGATTGTCATGATACTTCGTTTCTGTACCATGGTACACTTTTGTGTGGTACACTAAAGAATCACGAAGCATTTGTACTTCGTTTCTGTACCATCGTACACTTTTGTGTAGTACACTAAAGAATCACGAAGCATTTGTACTTCATTTGTGTACCGCGGTACAATTTTGTGTGGTACACAAAAGAAGCACGGAGGCATTAATACTGTGTGTACTGTGGTACAATTGTGTGTGGTGCACTAAAGAATCACGAAGCATTTGTACTTCGTTTCTGTACCATCGTACACTTTTGTGTAGTACACTAAAGAATCACGAAGCATTTGTACTTCATTTGTGTACCGCGGTACAATTTTGTGTGGTACACAAAAGAAGCACGGAGGCATTAATACTGTGTGTACTGCGGTACAATTTTGTGTGGTACACAAGAGAAGCACGCTATATTTATACTGTGTACCGTTATGACATGTTGTACGGAGATGAGTTGTTAATGTTGTCTGTTACAGATGACCATACGAGTCACATTTGTATGGTTAATAGGAAGAATGACAATTTCTGAAAATTTAGAATCCTAATCATTTGCCATTTGAGCTTTTCCAGTAAAGTTTTCTACTAATATAGCCAGAGGCAACGTCGAACTGGTGTTTCACAATGTGGCTCGTATGATCTTTACAAATTTTACATAGAAAATTAATTTATAAACCCTGTATAATCTGTATCATGATTAATATAGCACCATTAGATAACATCTCGTTATATAACAAAAGCATGTATATTATTGGAGATATATAACATTTGATATAGTATATGATATATCTTGTATGCTATGTAAGATATGTTTTATTGTTTAAATGAAATTATTGCCCTTAGGGAAAATGTTCAGTTGACTTGGGATGGAATGTGTAATTCCGAAGATATGAATCCAAGTACGGCATCCGCTTTCATCTTTCGAACACTTTCGCGATATCTTGTAAGCGCTCTCCGAAACAAACAATTCCAGATTTTCCAGTTTGCAGAATGAATATAATGGTATATTGAAAATCTGCTAAACTGAAAATGATTAATCAGATGAAATTCGTTTTTTTACATGAAGTATTTTTCTCTTGTCGATTTCTCCGGAGATGCGGAACAAACCGTGCATATTTACGATGATTCAAATATTAGTTTAGCAAGGTAATAGTGGAAAACGACTTAATTTTGAAAGTGCTCACAAACAATTTCGTGTTTATTTCAGTGGGGTAAGGGAGGCAACTCTTACAAATATAATGCACAAAAGCAAAAGTATATTTCAATTCAGCGCCAAACTTAATAACATAAACACCTGTTTAACAAATTATTTGCTCTGTCTCACATCCTCTTTCTGTCATTGGTATAAAGTTTTGAAACACGAAATTTAACTAGGTAATGCCAGGATTGAAAAAAGGTAGAGGAGACGGTGGAAAGTTGATTCATTATCATACATTTATCTTCTTCATGTGTTGTCCTTTAAAGATTATCTAAATTACTTCATTGGTACAAAGTAACAATCTATATTAAACCAACAAGATCCCTTATTACTGAATGTCCGGCTCATAAAAAATACGATTTTCAGATTTTCTTCGGGTAAATTTTAAATGTTTTTTTTTTAGACGAATGAGAATAGTACGTAATTTTTGTGTGTAGGAATGAGAGTGTTGATAATCAAATAACAGTGTTAAAAGCAATGACAATTATCTTCAATAAGCTCGATTGTTAGCCCCTGTTAATATCACACTGCACAGATAATTACTTAAGAATTGTTTAATTTCTTCTGCTTTTTACCTATGATCTTGTAAATCTGTTGTCGGACACCATTTATAACTGATCTATGGAGGCGATATGCACTACCCGAAGCTTATGTTAATGGAAAATCCTTTGATAATGTGTCCACGTTACTGATTTTCTGACCAGGCCATGTCACTAGTTAAAGCTCACATCAGGGGTCTCATTTTCGTTGAAATTTGAATAACGTTGTAGGCTACAATTTTCTGGTAATCCTGATCTGTCCTTAAGCAATATTTTCACATATACAATTTATTGTTATATGAATGTATCTTTATTATATCAAATATATTCAATGGGGATCGGGCGCATTTTTCCCAACTAATATAGAACACAAACTACCCTGATACTGTAATGAAAACATTTATTTGTTTTTCCGTGCGTTTTTGCAATAGCAACAATGCAATTTGTGTAAAGTACAGACATTTTTAGTTGTCTTGACTTTCAAAAGCGAAGAAGAAGCTATAAATTGCATTCTTGAACTACCTGAGGATGAAATAAGAAATGGGTGTACAGCTCAATACCTCTTATTGCTAGATAACGTTTATTTTGCTATATTACCCTTGTTTGATGTAGTAACCATGGCAACCACAGCTGCCTATCATTACAGTGATATCAGAGAAGTATTAAAAAATCGAAACAGTTCTGAGTGTTTGTTTGTTTGGGTTTTTTTAATATTTTTTTTCATGCCTCCAGATCGGGACATATTGTTTTTGTGGTGTCCGTTTGTCTGTTGTCAACTTTAACCTTGTCCATAACTATTGCACCGTAAGAGGTAGGGCTTTCATATTTGGCATGTATGTTCCTTGTAATAAGGCGTTTCCGATGGTACCAAAATGTTTTACCATGTGACCTTTGACCTACATTTGAAAAGAGAAAAATTAATCATTACCACAATGATGACGTATGTGTTTTATAAAGTGTACATGCAATTAACACATGCCTTACATAGTACAGTTTGAATCCTCGACAGGAATTTGTTGTAACAAGGGGCAATGTAGTGTTTCATAAACACGCCCATTTTATTATCGTTATTCATTTAATGGAGTTGAGGAAAAACGAAAGCGTACTTAAGTCATATCTTATAATTCTACTTCTCGCGAACCCAACTTCCATTCTCCCCTCGAAATTATTTATTTGTGTGAAACTGCAAAAAGCTCTTATTTTATACGTAAGTTCAGAAGAAAAGAACAATAACATTCATACAACGGATAACGCAAAATTGTAGTAGTCAATGTTTTAAAAACAGTTTTACTGAATTGAAATATTTGTCTAAAAATATATCGTGCGTGTCTATACCGGGGTAATCTGATTGGATGAATATTTTCCCGATAGATGGCGCTATATGAGTCGGATGCCGGAAGTGGTAATCGCACCACGTGTTAGTCGACAAGCCTTTGAGGACTACAGTATTAATTATTTCAATTCCAGTGTCACAATTCATCTGATATCTAGATTCAAAAATGAAGGTCGAACCAAATGAGAAGAAAGTAAAGGACAAAACCAAAAAGGATCCAAAGAAATCAAAAGATAAGGTAAACACGTGATAAACAACTTTGTTTTGACAAAGTCGATGAGTAACTGAATTGGTTGACATTTGATTGCGAAAGAGCCACATGGCATAAAGAAAATGAATGAAAATATGAAAATCGGTCACTGAATTAATACTTTTGTCATATGACTTTTTTATAATGTTGATATAGTTGAACGACAAGCTTATTTATTTCATGTTTTGCCGTGAATTCTTAAAACGTTTTGACGTCTGGTTAGAGGCACGTGGTAGTCTAGCATAGACACGTGGTGATCTTGCACGTGGTCAGATACATTAAACAATTGTCCATAACTTAGTTAAAGACAGCTCTGTCTGTGCTTATGATTTGCGTTTTTCTTCAAATTTAAAAATTAAACGAAGAAGAATACCATATCCATGGTGATTTTACAGAACCCACAAGCGAATAGCACCTTCATATACGTTTTTATATTACAAGTAGAATCAAATAATGAATTAAATCATACAGCTGTTTCGTCCTTTTATGACTCTTAAGTGATACTGACATGAGGACCGAGTTTTTGAAACGAAGGAGATCACTCAGAAAAATCCAAAGTGTAAGAGGGAATGTCGAAACCAAATTGGGGAGATGCACTAGCCACTAAGCCCTTTGTGATTCCTCCATGGGACTCGTTTATACTAAACTGACAATGTTCTTCATCAGATTCATGGCCTTATAAATTCTAATCTGCAAATGAAGTCGGGGGACCTACCTCCTGTTCTGATGTCTCGCACGAAAAATGATTTTCTATACTAGCACACAATGCGAGTCCTCCAAGAAATCATGAAAGGTGTTCGTGTACATTTCAGGGTCTTGTTTAGGTCAGCAGACACATCATTTCTATTGGTAACAGATATAATCTAACCTTACTACACAATTTACCCAGTTGTTGCATAGCAATCCTTAAGGGAGGATAAAAGGTGTTTATGTAGGTTCAAAATTTGGTTTGTCCATTCATTGATTGTCAGATGACTGTTGAAGGCTATGACCCTTTTGTTTGACCGTTATGATAGCTTTACCGTAAGCTTCATGATACTGAAAATGCACCTACAATAACTTAGTGTAATTCTACATGTAAATCAAGTGTTAAGTCTTTCATATCCATGAGTATTTTGTCATCAGAGCCAGTCCATCACTGTACCTGATAACAAAGAACAGGGTCTTTATTTCATTGGAAAATGTTGTGGTGTGAATGTTTTCATTGTATCTAATATTTATAAACCCTTTCTGATCAGCTTTATGAAGATCCTTTGATTGTGATTATCCATGAGGGTTGAAGGTTTGAACCACCATTGATAACCCATCTACTCGCTTCATTTCCTACACAATATCTGGGGAATGAGTGTTGTTATTAATCATCATATTAATTAGCTACTGTAAAGCTTGATTATTGCTCATGTTCTGATAATAAATATTTCAGGTTAAAAAAAATTCCAAAAAGGACAAAAATTTACAACAAAATGGAGAAATCTCTTCACCAGAGATCGAGGTTGAAGCTGAAAGAGATCTAAAAGAAACTACAGCAAATGGGGAAGTCACAAATGGGCTGAATGACCATCAAAATGGAAAGGAAGAAAGCGAACCAGAACTAACCCCACAACAGAAAGAGGGAGCATTCTCTAACTTTAGGATTTCAGCTGAGACTGTGAAAAAATTGAAAGGTGCATAAAACCTTAATTATTCTCTGACACTACCTTAGTATTTGTAATATATATGTGTTTTTAAGTCAATTTCTATATGCTGTGTCATTTTCATACAAAATCATGACATAAAAATTAGTCTGTTCTGTAATTAATTGATAATGTCAAGCTCTTAAAATAAACTACAAAAGTACTAAGTATATCATTAATTTTACAACACAAGATTTGTTTAATCTTGACAGATGTACACGTACATTCAATTGTAGGCTTACTTTTTTTCTTCTTACAAAGTTGTCTGTTTTTTTTTCTATATTAAACAACTGTTTTGTTGTTACCATTTATTTGTTTTCTAAATAAATCAGTTCCAACCACATTTTAATGTTTTGCACTGAAACTTTCATCTATAATGGAAAGCGTTTTTAAAATTATTTCATGGTAACTATAATAAATGGTAATAAATTGCTTAATTTAGGGTTGATCACAAGTACTACTATATAGAATCTTTTTATGACTAGTTGACAGTAAATATCATCATGTTCCCATTTTACAGCAAAAGGAATTTCACATCTCTTTCCTATCCAGGCTCAAACATTTAATTATGTGTATGATGGAGAAGATGTCATCGCACAAGCAAGTAAGAACAGTTTTTTTTATTCTCAATATTTCATGCAAATATTTTATAAGAAAAAGCTTTTCAATCATGTTTTCATGTGAAAGATTTTAAATTGGATTAATTGTTTGAAGTTCTTATGTAAGAATTGAACATTTCTGTCAGAATTTCTCCATTTTATGTAAAACAAAAAATAACTGTTTACATATAATGTTTCAGGAACGGGAACAGGAAAGACGGTAAGTTTTTGTTGGAGGTGAAAACTTTGTGGTTGTATACTTTTATTTGATCAGTTACTTTTTTACATCAAGTATTTTTTGTACACTCATCAAATAAATGGGCTATAAATGTTTAATTCAGAGTAATGTGAGGATATATGCACTGTACATAAATCCAATAAAGGAATCATTTCTGAATTCTGTTCCACAAATACCTACTTGTGTTTGCTATTGTACTATTATTAGTTCATCCTCTTGTTTCATTTTAGCCATATTTTATCTGCATTGCTGTACATGTAGATTTGATAACAAATCATTGTGCATGTCTTTAAAAATAGTAAGATTATTTTCCTCTGTTGAACAATAGCTGTCCTTTGCACTTCCATTGGTGGAACGCCTACATCAGGATCTTTCAAATAAAAGAGGCAGACCACCTAAGGTATGTATAGTACTATTATCAGAATAAGACAGAAATGAAGACTAAAAAAAAAGAAAATTTTATACCCAAAAAGCAAAAGGGAAACATTCTCATTGATGGTAAATGGGTATATATTATCCTGAAAAAATTGGATTATTCACAATAGTGTATTGTTGCATTAAAGTTTACAGTAATTTTTGACTGAATCAGTAATGTATTAAACATGGAAGGTACATATTTTCTAACATATCACACAGGTTTTGGTGATGGCACCAACCAGGGAGTTGGCTAAGCAGGTGTGTAATGACTTTGAATCCATCAGTGACCGAATCTCTACTTTCTGCATCTATGGTGGTACTCCTTACTACCCACAAGGTAAGATATCAGAAGTTAGTACCTCTAAAGTCTTCTCCTGTGCTAATCATGTTCATTAAAGAATTTGCTTGCTGCTTGAAAGTTTGAAATAGCTTTGTTGCAGATGAATTAAGTTTCAAAAAAACCTTTCAAATTGTGCTAATACTGATATATTATAATGTATGTCAGAGGCTGCTGATGGGGGAGTGGTCAATGGCTTAAATTCACATTGGTTAATAAAGAGTTCTGCCAATGGCAAAATCAACCAGTAAACCTCACTAAAATCCTAGGGGTTAAAAACTGGGGTCCCAAGTATACTTTAACAATTGTGTGGAGTACAACTTTAATATTGTAACGTTGGTTACATGTTTAAAAGAATAATTTGTTTCTACAGATTTAAAACTAAAATCCAGGTGGGCTTATGGCATACCATGGCATCTATCCATTTAATGATTGGAACTTGCCCAAGTTTGGTGTGAGGTTCTCTCGGGTGAAGGGAAATTAATTGTGTACAAATTGTTGGTCTTGACCTCCTTGGACCTGAGAGGAGGGGCTAAAAATAGTCAAATTGACTCAAATATCAAAATTCTTCTCCTCAACGCCCATATGAGGGAGAATCAAATGCTCTAAATTGGTGAAAGGGTCTAAGGTGCTTAACTACAATTGTGAATTTCATGACACCAGGGTCACACATTTCCCCCATGGGAAGATGTAAAGTTTACAATGGTTTATACAGAAAAAGTACTTTTTTGAGTCTTATTTGTTTACTTTCCAATTTGAAATATTAAAACACGGTTAGAATTATGAGCAAAGGATGGTGGCTTGATGGTATGTACAATTTGATCTTAATTTGGGCTTAAAAGGGGTCAAATGGACACAAATTTCACATCTCCTCATTACCTAGATATGGAAGAATCAAATGCTCTTTATGGATTTGAAGGGCTACCAAAATTGGGAATTTCATGACCCCAGGGTCATAGATTTCCCCTGGGGAGGGGATGAATCTTACTATAATGTTTTATAGGAATTCGTATTTTTGAGCATAAAGTTGTGTGTTTTCCGTGGGAATAACTTGGTATAGGATGACGGCTTTGATGGTATGTATATATTGACACTGGCTGACCCCCAAGGGCTTGAATCACATCACTTTAGTCCGACTCATCAATGTTGCAATTTCTTTTTGTTTACACTTGAAAGCTACTTACCCTATGATCAATATCGCTTGACTGCCAAGGCCGCCAGGCCTCTTGTTTTATATGACATTTAAAATAGTAATAAATAGGTGCCTGCAAAAACAATAAAACAGTAACACTTCCTTAAAAAATAGATAAAAGATATTCCTCACCTTTTCTTTATTTTTGATATGAGTAGGAGTCTGTTTTAAGCTGGCTGTGAAATGATGCAAAAAAAATCCACTGTAAATGTTTTGTTACAGAAAATGCTATCAGGTCGGGTCTTGATGTTTTGGTGGGCACACCTGGTCGTATTCTCGATCATGTAGAGAAAGGCAATTTAGATTTCTCAACACTGAAGTATGTTGTCCTGGATGAAGTGGACATGATGCTGGATATGGGCTTTGCAGATAGTGTTGACCAGATCATCAAGACAGCCTACACTAACAAAGGTGAGTTGATCTTGTCCTGTCAGTGATGAAGCCTACAGTAACAAAGGTGAGTTGATCTTGTCCTGTCAGTGATGGAGCCTACACTAACAAGGTGAGTTGATCTTGTCCTGTCAGTGATGAAGCCTACCCTAACAAAGGTGAGTTGATCTTGTCCTGGCAGTGATGAAACCTACACTAACAAGGTGAGTTGATCTTGTCCTGTCAGTGATGAAGCCTACACTATTAAAGGTGAGTTGATCTTGTCCTGTCAGTGATGATGCCTACGCTAACAAGGTGAGTTGATCTTGTCCTGTCAGTGATGGAGCCTACACTAACAAGGTGAGTTGATCTTGTCCTGTCAGTGATGGAGCCTACACTAACAAGGTGAGTTGATCTTGTCCTGTCAGTGATGGAGCCTACACTAACAAGGTGAGTTTATCTTGTCCTGTCAGTGATGGAGCCTACACTAACAAGGTGAGTTGATCTTGTTCTGTCAGTTGTGAAATTGCAGTCTGGTGATTTGGGTTATTCATGAACATGTGTTGTACAGATTTTTTGACAATTTTTGTTTTCTTAATTACAGATGAAGGTTCAAAGCCTCAGACTCTACTATTCACAGCAACACTGCCCCCCTGGGTATATCAAACTGCAAAGAAGTACATGGACGAGAAGAATATTAAGAAAGTGAACCTGGTAGGGACACAGGAGAACCGTACCTCTACTACAGTCCAGGTGAGATAAATAGAATCTTAATCTCTTTTTAGCTGATATCGGGAAAGCTTAACCTGAAAGGCAGATTTTCAATTGAACACAAGGCTGAATTAGTGTTTGCAACAGAGTAATCTACCTGCCAGAGCTGAGATCCCCCTATCTGACCATCCAAGGGGGCACCAGTGACGAAATGTGATGATATGTAATAATTAGAGCTGTGATGGTCAGGTATCAACATCAAGGTTACAGAAGCAAGACATTAATATTCTGAAAACATGCATATTCCAGACAAAAAATAAAACATCTATAACCCAGACAAATTAAGCACAGGGCCTAGATCAATTTATTCAATACATAAATATTTGTGTATAGAAACAGTGAAAGAGATAATGAAATATTCCCCAGAGCCAGGCTAAAGTATCAAAAGCCCTTGTTAAAACTTGTGTGTGACATTTATTCATTACAAAATCGTTGGCTTAGTTCAATCTGATTTGATTCATAAACAAATGAGCAATATTCAGCACAGCAAAGTCTGCTGATCGTTGTATCTTATCACAATTTCGTTGTCATGTTTATTCAGTCACTACAAAAGATTCTACAAATTTAGACAGTTTTTCCAGCACACAAACATTTATCACTATTTTAATCATCACATTTGTCAATAAACCTTTGTATGACATGGATTGAAGAAATTATTTGCTAAATATCATTTTGGTTACCATTTTTTATTCGAATCCGACATATCATGACAGCTGTCTTTGGTTTTCTTAGGCATCCTGGAAAATGGCATTAAGTTAAGAGCAGAATATTAAATGATTTTACAAACCATTGTCATGCAAAAGGAATGCATGAATGGCAAATCGATATTTAGTTTTATTTCAAAAGTACAAAGAATTATAACGAAACAAGATTATTTGTCTGATGGCCTAGTTGACAAATAAAAATCACTCCTAAAATCGCTCGTCCATCAGCAAAATCCATTTGTCAGATCAAGCAGATAATTGCTTTAGCTGGGCCCTGATTCTCAGTAACATTCATACAAACATTTGTATCATTTTCAGTGACCACAAAGTATCTTTATTATAGCATCTCAAAATATCTTGGTTGTTCAGATGTAGTCATACTTCAACTGAGATTGAAAGATTTGGGTTACTTTCAAAAGGCCACCATTGACAAACATTTATGTTACTGTGGTTATATCTGATGTTTCAGTGGTCAGGGGGACAGGTCATTTTATCAAAAAATATATATTTAGAATATTCTAGTAAAGTGAAAACATTGTCACAACAAGCAGGTGTCATGTTTCAGATTCATTCATTAGTGTTGAAAATCAAATGTTGGAACAAAGCTATAAGTCTTGTTTTTATATTATAAAGATACCATGATCGGGATTTCCTTGTGATAACAGTGCTAATGATAATGATTTTGGTTTAAAAATATCTAAACCTTGATCATCATCCTTTACAGGACTTCTTTTTATTGATAACAATACCATATTTCTCCGCCAATAAGCCCAGGGGGCCTGTAACTACCTTGGAATGAAAATTATTCTAAATGTTGATAACACCAAAATATTCAGCACATCCTTCAATAGTCTATTTTTGTATTTTGATAATTAAATACACCATATTTTTATGTTTTGTTATTGCAAATTAAGATTAAACTAAGATGTTGTTTTAAACTTTTCTACAGCATTACAAAGGATTTAATAAAGACCCAGTGAAGCCAATAAGTTTAAATATACCTGTAACTTTTTTTTTCATCTTTAGCACTTGGCCATCAAGTGTAGCTATCATGATCGTGCAGCCACCATTGGGAATGTTGTGTCTGTGTACAGTGGTGAGCATGGGCGAGGTATGATCTTCTGTGAGACAAAAAGGGATGCAGATGAACTAGCTCTAAGCCCTCTCATTAAACAAGATGGACATGTCCTTCATGGAGATATTCCCCAGGCAAAACGAGAGTCTGTGCTTAAGGTAAGCATAATCCTGATGGCTAAGTCAACATTTTCTCTCTTTAAGATAATGTTTCTTCAATTTTCACTCTTAGTTTTTGTTTATTTGTTGATTTTCACTCTTTGTTGTTGTTTATTGGTTAACCCTAGGATCTGTCCATTAACTCTAAAATGAAAGAAGACTTTTCTCATCAGTTGATTCACAAAATTATGCAGTTGTATATGCATTTATATCTAGATGTTCAAAGAAGGCAAATACAAAGTTCTCATCACGACGGATGTAGCAGCAAGGGGCCTTGATGTGCCATTGGTGGACCTTGTGATTCAGTGTAATCCCCCTAAAGATGTGGACTCGTACATTCATCGATCTGGAAGGACTGGGCGTGCTGGCCGCTCTGGCGTATGTGTATGCTTCTATAAACCCCAGGAGGAACATGATTTAGCCTGGGTGGAGACAAAAGCGGTAAGTGTGCAAATGTTTGTGAAACTGGCTTTCTTTTACCAAAATGTAGATCTTGTCTGTATTAGACTTGCTAAGTACTACATAAGATATATATATTTAGTATATCATTTGCTCTGATTGTGGCTTATTTGTACCAAAATAAATAAATATGCATTGAGCTCACATTTAATTAACAACACCAAAAATGTATCTACTATTGGATATGTTTTGAGAATGAATATCAGTTTTCCTAAAAATACATTTTTTAATTTCAGAGAATCAAGTTTAAAAAGATTGGAGGTCCTTCTACTACTGACATCATCAAGGCCTCTGCTGATGATGCTGCTAGGTAAGAACTGTTAAAAGTTTTATGTGTTTTGGAAAACTTTAAAATAGCGGTAATAGTAAGTAATTTGTTGAGGACAGATGTGAGAAGCGGTAAAAAATTAGCTGAAAACAGTTTCAGATCAACATGGAATCATACACTTTTGCATCAAATTAATATTGTCTTTAAATAGTTTATACTTTGGGTAAATGGTAATATGTAAATTTTAGTTTTTCTTCTAACAGTCAATTAGGCAGCATCTTTGAAAAAAATCACGGTTACCTCCCTTTGACCATTGATATTTACAACTGACTTCAAGATGTAGGTTATTTCCCCTTGACCATTTGGTTTTTAAAATGGCAGGGGGGGGGGGGAAAGCCAGATTGGGTTTTTTTTTTCTAAATTTAATATTTCAAGCATTATATTTTTTTTCTCAAAGAAGAACAGCAGATATGTTTGTTATACTTTTCTGAAAAGTATGTTGAGCATGTTCCATATTATAATAGATGTTTATAAATGAAAATGGATTTTGTGAGATTGATCATGAATGTATTTTTGTTGTTTATGCAGGTCCCTAGCTATGGTGACAGATGAAACATTAGAATATTTTCGGGAGTCAGCTGAAAATCTGATTGCAGAACGTGGTGCAGTGAAGGCATTGTCCGCTGCCTTAGCAGTGATGTCGGGAAGTAAAAACATTGTACCTCGGTCTCTACTTTTGAACAAAGAGGTAAGGCACAGACATCCTTTTCCTTCATATACATCTCAGATTGAACTGCATTTGTTTTGTTGTTATATGTTCCATAAAAATGAAAGTTGCACATGCATGACTGGCTTGGATTCACTGTTGATGTTAACAGGAATGCACTGACTCATATCTTTATGACTCGGATCCATTGTTGATGTTAACTGGTATACATTGACAATATTTCAGCTAATTAAAAGTACACCTGTTGCTGCTGAGTAACAGCTGAGCAAATGTTTGTAAATTGATCTTGATTGATCTATATAGAATTTCCACAAATTAGATATCTCATATTTGTTAACCCAAATCGCCCTTCGTCCGTCCGTCCGTCTGTAAACAATTCTTGTTACCGCTATTACTGGAAAAGTACTGGATGGATCTTTCTCAAATTTCATATGCAGGTTCCCATTGGTCCCTAGTTGTGCATTGTACCTTTTTTTAACTGATTCGCATTCAAGATGGTCGACAGGTGGCCATCTTGGATTTTGGAAGTAAAAGTTTGTTACCGCTATTTCTGGAAAAGTACTGGATGGATCTTTCTCAAATTTCATATGCAGTTTCCCCTTGGTCCCTAGTTGTGCATTGTACCTTTTTTGGACTGATTCAAATTCAAGATGGCCGACAGGTGGCCATCTTGGATTTTGGAAGTAAAAGTTTGTTACCGCTTTTTCTGAGAAAGTACTGGATGGATCTTCTTCAAATTTCATATGCAGTTTCCCGTTGGTCCCTAGTTGTGCATTGTACCTTTTTGGACTGATCCGAAATCAAGATGGCTGACAGGCAGCCACAGTGCTCCAGATAACTTTTTGACATGTGGGGTTTTCACTCCTACCTTTATAAATTGAGGGGTTTTTTCACCCCTGCCTTCATCAAGTGTATGGGTTTTTCCATATTAGGGTAACACTGAATTTGTAAACATTTTTGACAGCGCCATATTTGCTATGCGACTGGTTTATAATCACGATCAAGAAAGCACTTGTTACGAGTTTCGTTTACTTGATAAGTGTCTGTTTGACTTAGATTATTGAGTTTTCTAACTACGTAATATTGGAGCCGGACATTGACGCAGAGTCCGGATTTCGCACGGGTTAATGACGCAAATCTTATTTTTTTCCTAGCGTGAAATTAGAAATATTGTGCGTGAAAACGCATTCACGCAGGCTATCTAGAGCACTGAGCCATCTTGGATTTTGAGAGTAAAATCTTGTTACTGCTATATCTGAGGAAGTACTGGATGGATCCTTCTGATATTTCATAGATATTGGTTTCCCTTGGTCCCTAGTTGTGCATTGTACGTTTTTTCGACTGATTTGAAATCAAGGTGGCCCACAGGCAGCCATCTTGGATGTCGACAGTAATACAGCACAAGCATATTGTCCATTATCCACCTGTAACTGACTGCTATCTAATAATACTTTGGGATCTTTTTCAAATGATATTTGCTAATAGGTGCTTAATAAAAATATCTTGTGCCATCATTGAGTACATTCAATGAAGACCAGTTCATGAACATTTACATGATCAAACCAGGTTACAGGCAGCTATTTGTATTTTATCAATGAAAGTTTGTTTTCGCTATCGCAGATGGATCCTCCTTAAATTTCATATGTATGTTCCCCTTGGTCATTTAAATTTTGGGATTGACCCAAAATAAAATGGACAACAGGTGGCCATCTTGATTTTGCCAAGTAAGCTATCACTATATCTTGAGAAAATATGTTGGGAGGGATCTTTTTTTTATTTCATGTGTAGGTTTACATTAGTATCTTGTTGTGCCCATTTGATTTTCAGACTGATGTTAAAAACAATATGGCCAACTTGTAGCCATCTTGAATTTTGACAAAGAAAGTTTATCACTATTTTATGAGAAGTACGGAATGGACCTTTCTCAAATTTCATATATAGGTTCCCCTTGGCCCTTTATCTCTCGGCATATATATTTCATGAACATTTACAACACCTGTAACAAACAAAAAAAAATAAACAAATCTTCAAGAACTGAAAACAGATCCTCAAATGGTGGGCACCAAGATCCCTCTGGGATCTCTTGTTGTTAAGATGAATCGAGGCATGCAGTTTCTATAAGAACATAGAAAAATCTGCAAATTTTTATTTCACTTGGTTTAGAAGGACAGATGAGCTTAATGCCAAACTGCTGCATCAGACTATTAACCCTTTCTGTAAATTACCACTATTCATAAATGACCAGGAGAATTCTGACAATATTCGGTCTTACATGTCCTTCGGGAAAGAGAATGGTTTGCAAGTTGTCTAAAATCCATATTCATCCTTAGGAATGTTTGGATTCTGTCCTAATTTTTTTCTAAAGCATCCTTAGCTGAAAAGAGAATTCATTTTGTATAAACAGTGGGTCTTAATCCTGTGGAACAGGAGAGGCAATAGTCCAATAGGAAAAAAAAGAAAACTTTTTGAAATCATCTTTTGTGGAAATGCCTGGAGTTTGTTCTGATTTGTTTGAAACATAACTGGTTGGAAGGAATCCCGTCTTGTATAATCTAATAGTTTGAAACCCTACCAGAGACTAGAGGTGTTAGATGTAATAGGTTCTCAAAAATCCACATCAAGGATATTGTCAACATATGATCTGAAGTATTCTTAGGTAAACAGAACTCAATTTTGTATTAAGGGTGGATCTGACTTTCCTTTGACCACATGGCAGACTTAGTTTTTGAATTAATGGTTGAGCTAAGCTGGCCACATGGGCATCTTATTCATGCAAAGACCATCATCTGACATCCTGTACTGGATATCCCTATAGTTATAAATTTATTGTTAGCATCTCAAGACAGTTTGAGGTGCTTAACCAAAATTGTGAATTTCATTACCCCAGGGTCTCACATTTCACCGTGGGGAGGGGGTAAAGTTCACAATAGTTTATTTAGAAAAAAATAGATTTTTGTGCATAATTTGCTTAATTTCCATCGGAAATATTTAAAACTTGGTTAGATGTATGTGCGAAGGGTAAGGGCTTGATGATATACCAATATTGATCCTGACTGACCCCTAGAAGGGCTCATGGGCGGGGCCAAAAAGGGTCTCAACACCCGGGTATGGTAGAATCAAATGCTCTGTATGAACAGAAGCATGGAAGGTGCTTTAATTACCAAAATAGGTCTCACATTTCTTCCTGGGCAGGAAGTTTTTTTAACTTAATTGTAATTTTCACAGAAAATTGCATTTTTGAGCTTAACTTTGGTTATATTCCGTTTGAAGAATTATTAGTACAAGATGACAGTTTTCGTTCAGTGTCACAATTTGTTTTATGACACTTGATAACAATATTTACATTTAGTATTGCTCATCTCAGGTAACGGTCAAGGCCGCTAGGCCTCTTGGTTACATTCATTACTTGTAGTACTGGCCTTTGAAGATTATTTCTACATAAAAAGAGGTTATTTAAACTTGAAGTGAATATATTATCTTGTCAAGCTCCACATGTTTGAATTTTGATAGACAGAGTTTATGACGTGTAAACAGTACATGTTCACTATAACTAGATTTTCTTTATGAATCTTTCTTTATATAAACTTTATTTGTTTTACAACAATTGCGAAACAAGTTATTTAAACTTATACTAATCACTCTTGTTGGCCCGGATGTAAGCGCGCGAGGGGCCTTATTGTGGGAGGAAACCGGAGTACCCGGGGAAAACCCACGCGGTCGGACAGGTGACCCCTTACCTTTTCACGTCCGTTCCGGGAATCGAACCCCGGTCGGCTAGGTGAAAGGCGAGTGCGTTAACACTGCGCCACCCGACCACCCAATCTTTCTTTAGTATCATCATTTAAAATATTCAAAGTTGAAGACATAGAATTATTTATGATAAGAGTAAACCCATTATATTGCCTCATACTGGGGTTCAGGGTTTGAAGTTCAGTATTATTTGTATGTTAAACTTTTGTCCTTGTCATAAACAAACCATCATAAAGTTGCATTCTTCTGGTCTTCTCTCCAAATTGATATTACCCTAATGACCTCATTTCTGTTGGGGGGGGGGGGGGGGGGGTCAAAGTTTGAGCAAAGGTCGAATTATACCACTGTTAAAATTTATTAGGGCTATTAGGGTAGCTAACTAGATAACCATGTTTTATTGACTGAAATAATCATAAGCATGTTTTTGGTTTGTTACTTTGGTGACCAAAAGTCTGGGTATTAGAAAAGGCTATATGATAAAACAAATTTATGTAATACAAAAAAACCATTATTGAAATTATCGAAATTATGGGAAATTATTTTGACTCTTGGAATCACATGTGCTGGAGTTCAATTTTAATCTTGTCTATATATTGAAAGGTTTTGAGGGCAAATGACTTGGTGTAACAGTGGAAAACATGTGAAAAAGAAGAAAAAATCAAATCTTCCAATAGGTTATAGTCCTCCATCATCAGATGGTAGACTGATCTCATGATCGTGGGCTATTCAGATTGCCATTTGTCAGTGGTCCGTGGTCAGTCTGTCAGTTTGTGAACATTGTTATTTTTTGAGATACACTTGATGAATCTTTCTTAAATTTTAAATGTACGTTCCTCTAATTCCCTAGTTGTGCCTCTTTGATTTTTGGTTTGATCAGAAAAATCAAACTGGGTTACAGGAAGCCATTTGTATTTTATCAATGAAAGTTTGTTTTCGCTATCGCAGATGGATCTTTCTTAAATTTCATATGTATGTTCCCCTTGGTCATTTAAATTTTGGGATTGACCCAAAATAAAATGGACAACAGGTGGCCATCTTGATTTTGCCAAGTAAGTTATCACTATATCTTGAGAAAATATGTTGGGAGGGATCTTTTTTTTATTTCATGTGTAGGTTTACATTAGTATCTTGTTGTGCCCATTTGATTTTCAGACTGATGTTAAAAACAATATGGCCAACTTGTAGCCATCTTGAATTTTGACAAAGAAAGTTTATCACTATTTTATGAGAAGTACGGAATGGACCTTTCTCAAATTTCATATATAGGTTCC